GGCCAAGCCCGCCGCCGCGCCACCGCTACCGCCACTGCCGCCACCACACACGCACAATATCAAGCTATTTTGGATAATCAAGCCACTATTTAACAATCTATGGTTGATCTCCTGACAGACTATTAGGCATATTGTGATTACTCGCAGACGACATTTGACCAAGTTAATGCCTGTTAGCTTGAGTATCAACAGTCAATTGCATCTCTGCAAACTGACTTCTACGTATACTAGGAATCGAGCCAACAGCAATTTGATCAGCTTGGCGCTAGGGTTCATGATGAGGTATTTGAGACTCGAACGCTGATGCATGCCTTATTTGAGCAGCATTTTCCACCACTGCCACATCCAAATCAATGATATATGGTTTATTTTCTTTGTTTTATTTATTTATTTATTTTTGTTTTGTTTTATTTTATTTTTCTTTTCCTTTTATATTGTATAGTCAAAAAAATAAAAATAAAAATGTGTGTGTGTATGTGTATGTGTGTGTGTTTGGTTCGTCCTTGCCTTGCTGGATTTGCGCCTACGTCGTATGGTAGATCCTCTCTCTCTCTCTCTCTCTCTTTCATTTTACTATCTATTTTACAGTTGCTTACATTAAGGACAATATTGTATTCTAGTTGGGGGGTGAGGGTATTTATAATAACAATTCATGTTTGTACTTGCTGCACTTGATTACATCACTTCATTTCTTTTTGCCAGTATGGTGGTGATATAAGCATATGTTAATTAAGAACACATAGTGGACTTGTATGAAAAGGGTTTATTAGGTAAATACTCGCATGTGATGTTTGCACTAGGAGAGTTGTTTGTGTTTGTGGTATTAGTACATTTGTCATAAGTGTGTCTTGATATACATGAACACACTTTCATAGCGGTGACCACTTTATTCTAATCCCTGGTGTACATCATTGATAATTGTTAGTGTTGCAGAAAAAAATAAATGAGTAGCCTTGACTCTCACAAAAAAATAAAAAAAAAACTTGATTTGTTTGGGTTCGTAGCCTCTTTAACTCAAGTTATTAAGCCTGTAGGAGTGTCTTTATACCCAGTGCCCTAAAATCGTCTGGTTTGGGAGTTATTGGCCCAATACTTGCTATATGGGTTAATTAGAAAGCTTAAAAAACCTAGACATTGCACAGTTAAGAAAAAAAATAAAGACTTGTTCAGGTTCGTAACATTTTCAGCTTGAGTTATTAAGCCCGTAGGGGTGTCTTCACACCTAGTGCCCTAAAACCATTTGGTTTGGGAGTCATTGGCCCAATGCTTGTTACATGGGTTGATTAGAAAGCTTAATGGATCAGGACATTGCACAGTCTTTCAAAAAAAAAAAAATGAGAATCTTGGTTGCAAAAATTTAGTTTTTCTATATATGTTGGGTGTTATTGTGAGTTACACTCGGCTATCATAGTGGACAGTTAACTAGTTATGGGGATTTCACTTTACACCAAGGGTATTGATAATGTGTCTACTAGCATTCACAAATACATGGAACTTGATTTTTGTAATACTGAATTAAGATCTTTGCTCAATAGATTCCTTCATGCTTGTCTACTATGCTTTCAATGACTCATCATGTCTTAATATTGCGCTGTACTAGCACATAAGTTAATTCTTGACTGGTGTCATGTGATTAATCGTTGTTGGGCAGATGTGAATATGTTAATGTTTGTGGATATCATTTCTAAAAATCCTCACGAGACTATACTTGTCCACTTATGGTAACTTTGTGGTTTAAAGGCTTGTTGCATATGCTAAATATAATTGTAATCCCTACGAAAGTGGTTTAGAATATTTTATTTTTCTTTTTTCTATTGTTTTGCCCGAGGACTAGCAAAATGTAAGTTAGGGGATGTGATATAAGCCGAAAGGTAACACATTGAGACCACTTAAGTTACATTTATAGTCTTTGAATTTTGTTTTATTTGGTAGAAATAATGTGTTTTGTATAGTTGTACAGATTTGGCAAGCTACACGCAAATTCAAGCAAAAAATGATGCAAAAGCAAATTCTCCGTGCGAGTAGTGAAAAATCTCAACCTGTCACCCAACTGCACGTGCAGCCCACCACCGCTCAAGCGGCCCACATGGGCACTCGAGCAGCCCATCTAGGACTGCGTGCACGAAAATTGAAGCTTGTTCTGTTGGAAATAAAAAGAAGAAATGTCATGACCCAAACCCGGTACCCAAAGGCTTGGCGTCGCAACACGATAAAAATAAAATAATTCTAAAATTACTATAGTAGTAGCGCAACGGATAAATTAAATAAATTAAAATAAAATAATTGGGTACTAAAAGTTTATTAAAAAGAAACAAAAATAGTCATTTGGGCTTTTATTTTATTATAAGAGTCCGATCAAAAATACAGATAGTACAAAAAAAAAAAAATGCGGTTTATCCGCCATCTTGATCTTGCTAAATCTCGTCACCTGAAAGGGGTAACAACTATAAACACATAGCAGAGTGAGAAATATTATACTGTGAGTATAGGGGCACAAAATAGCCATGGATAATTATTGAAGCTAAAACACTAACATAATTTAAATTGAATAAACAAATTAATTAAGCGGCAAAAACTGAAATCCAGAAATTACGTAAATAACTATAACCACGGTACAGGACAAAACAAAACAGAGGTCACTGGATTGACAATCAGAACAAGGGTCAATGGGTTCATGACAAACAGAGGACTACAAGGTGGCCAAACAAGGGCCAATGGTTTATTTAAGTCCCTCAAGGCGTGGGACTCATGTGGTGGTACTTATAGAAAATAATTGTTTATAAAATTATCGCCAAATAATTATTAAAAGTTAAACAGACATATCCATTGGTTTCAATCTAAGCAAATAGAGTTCAGAAAATCCACGTAATTGAAACATTAACGTAACCATAAAACATAAATTATACAAAATAAATTGTGGTAACTCAAAACATTCGTAAAATATATTATGGTAACTTAAGACATATTTAAAACATGTTATGGTAACTCAAGGCATAATATAACTCACCTTACGATTGACCCTTAACTTTTAGTTTCCTACTATTAACTCGCTGCTACTTGTATGCTGCCTCTTAGTTATTGATTTATATACATTTCTTTTGGTTTTGTTGAAGCTCGGTCAAGCACTACCTATTTATAGGTAGTGAGCGTGCATCTACTCTCGGCCACATGTCTTAACAAGCGCCACTTTGCCCTTCCCCCACGTGTCCCTCTAATTGGTGATTGATTAAAGCTATGAGGCCTGAGTTGGTGATTTACCAAAGCTATGGTGATTCACCAAAGCTATATCTGTTTCATTTTTTTTTTTGATAATATATAATCCCTAATTAAATTGCACTTTATCATATAACATTCACTATTTTATTTTATTCTAATTATACATGATATTTAATTAAACAATTAGGGTGCCATAAGAAAAGAGGCTGTAATTAGGGTTGGGAAATATTTTAGAAAAAAGAGAGAGGTTAGGGTTTGGAAGGAAAAAGAACTTGAAGTTTGAAGAATGTCTCTCACGGTGGCTTCTTCTCCCTCTACTTATTCCCACTCCTCCATGAGTGGCTAGACTCTTCTTTCTAGAGTTTTGATGAAACCCTAGTCAAGTAAATAAATTTTCTTTTTGGTTTTCTTTTATTTAATGGTTTGAACAGTTGTATGGTTCTCAAGAAGTTTACTAATATATTTTTCCATTATTTATTCGAGTATTATTCTTTATGTGATTGTTGAAGGCTTTCCATACAATGGTTTTCTATTCTTTCATGTTCGAGGTATGAGATGAATCATATTACGAGGGACTAGTCGTGTTACTACCCTAATTTAGAGCAAACGACTCGCACTACTTGACATTATTTGTACCCGTACATTGAACGTGATAATTTTTTTAATCAATATTTCGAGCTTGTAATTGCGAAGTATTATTTCATTCGAAACGTAACATAATTGATTTTCAAATTGAAATCGTATTTATGTAAGTAGTGGTGAATTCATTACCCTAGTTTTTTTTCCAAAATCAGTAATTTCAATTTCATTTTTAGGAATTAATTTAGGAATTTAATAATTAAATTAGTTTAATTTCATATTTGTCCATGTGGATCGATACCATTATTCTAAGGAATTTGGAACAGTTCATAATTTATTTTTGGTGTGTGAAACGACCTATCATGTTGTTAAAAATTATAATTAATAACATTTTTTGTGACGATTTTTTAAATGTGTCACTAAAAATTAACAATTAATGATACTTTTCTGTGATGAATTTTTCAACTATCGCTAAAAACTAATAATTAGTAATATTTTTTTTTAATAAAAATGCCGCCAAAAAAAATAAAAATAAGATATATTATAGTAACAATTAAAAGTGAAAATGATTTTTTTGTTACACCAAAAAGTCCAGAGAACTTATTAGTGCACCCATTTTCCTATCTTAATAGGGTTTTTTAGTCAATTCCCTATTTATTAAATAGACATATCAAATTACTTTCACACCCTTATGTGTATAAGTTTACTCATAAAGCACAATGTTTACAATGTAGTGGGAAAAAAAAAAATCTAATTACTTAAAAACTTATCAAAATTTTACAATAAAAATAAAGTGTAAGATGTAGATTTAAAATTAAAAGTGTTGTAAATTATATTCATAATAGATTTTTACACATATGATGCATTAGTAAAATTTCACAAAACTTTTCACGGGAATACAAATTATTTTCCTCAGTTGCCAATTAACAACCAAACAAATTTCGAGGGTTGGATGAGTTAGTAAGGTAACGGTTTGCGTGATCGAATGTCTTTATTTTGAAACTCATACCAACCTTCTTATAGTCCTTGATTGAAATTGAAGGTGCAAGGGATGGGTTCCTCGACATCTTTTCGGGATAGTTTATAAGGTTGGATCATAAGTGGATCGGACGATCAACAAACAAACAACAAAAAAAAAAAAAAAAACCAACCAAACAGACCCTCTAGTTACTCTACGCACTCGCACGCAAACAAACAGTGCCAAATTTGATAACATTTTGGCGCCAAAAAATCTGAAAAAAAAAAAACAACAACAAAGAAGAGAGCAATCACCGACTCACCGCCAACACGCATTTCAGACAACAATGTCCACCATCTTCATCGCCCTTCAATGTTTCCAATGTTCTACCATGCAGGCTAATCTCTCTCTCTCTCTCTCTCTCTCTCTCTCTCGGTATTAGGTATTTTTGGTTGTTGATCTTATTAGGGTTTTCGATCGACAGGTGAAGCAAAAGAAGAAGAGCAGTAACAAGTGGACCTGCGTAGTCTGCAACCAGAAGCAATCAGTGCGGAAGGTGTTCGCTCAAGCTTTCATGGCCAGAGACGTCCGCAAATTCGTCCAGACCTTCAACATGTCCCGCCAATTCGCCCAACAACAATGCCCCGACGAAACCCTAGCTCCATCACCAGAACATTCCAGCAATCAGCCTCTGAACAATCACAACAACACGAGGACTGACTGGACCGAGTACATTGATCCGGAGGACAATGACGATGACCAAGTCAAAGACCAACGAGGTCAACATTCATGTCGATTCAAAATCAAAATCAAAATCAAAATCGTGTTTGAGTATGTTTTTGATCTTGTATGATTATTTGATAAATTTGATGTGCAGAGGATGTGTTTGAACCGAAGATTGTGACAGAGTTGCCGAAGGCATTGTTCAAAAAACCTAAATTGAATACTAATTCCAGTGGATTGGGGACTGAAAATGGTGAAAAGGGTTTCAGGGCTGTTTTTTCCAAGAGAAATTCCAATAAGCTTGTGGTCTCTCAAGGTAATGGTGCTCTATTCATTTTGTTATTTTATCTCCTGGTGAGTATGGTTAGGATGAAAGAAATTGCAAGTGTGGGTAAAAACTAAAAAGAAAAAAAAAATGGAGCTTTTTCTATGTTGGTTTAGAATGAAAGTAACTCTTATTAGTATGATAAATTGATGTTTAGTTTCTTGCAAAGAGAACAAGAATTTTTATTTTTTCGTGAAAGTAGGCATGTCGTGATCTCACTTTCCTATTATTTTTATGACTTTCTCATAAAAATTTAATCCTAACCAAATGCATAGAAGAAAATGATTTTTAATTTCATTCCTTTTCATTTTCCATCTTATTTTTCCTTCTAATCAAACAGATACAAAGGGATTGTATATTTATGTCCTTTTGTTACTGTTAAAATCTGAGTTAGATATACTAAAACCCTTATTATGTTGAACCAGAAACCAGGGGTAAGACTGAACAAAAAGAATTTGGCCTTTTGTGCACTATACAACAATCCACACTTGCTCACAGTTTGACTTACTGCAGATAAGGAGCCGAGAAAGGATCTGCCGACAACAGTTAATAGGGCTTCCAAGTGGAGAGAGTACACAGCACAAGATGAAGAAGACATTTCTGCGGACAAGGAACCAAGAAAAGATCTGCCAATGATGAGCAAAGAGGCTGCAAAATGGAGAACTTACGCAGCACAAGACAATGAGGATGATTGTCACTCAACAACAGCCAAAGGGAAATCTAAATGGAGCGACTGCATGATCCAAGAAAAGAATGAAGACCTTGCAGCAGCTAAAGTGCCATGGAACTGTCGGCCAAGAACGATGAAAGGAGCTTCAAAATGGGACAGTTACATTACAGAGGACGATGATGAAGATGACTTGCAGCTCAAAACTGGAAGAGAAATTGCAGATCACAAGGGTCGATGGGATGATAGTGTATTTGAAGCCACATTGTATGATGAAGGGGTAGAAGAGGACATCCATCCAGATTTCCAATAAGCTCTCTCATGTTTGTATTGTTTGCCTTTTACACTTACTCATGTCCTTCATGACCTTGTAGTGAGGAACACTAATTCTGACACTCGGGTCAATTTCACTAAGGCGAAATGTGATTCACAGCCTTGGAGAAATGCTTTATTTCCTAGTGCATTTTAACTATGCTTGTTGGTTTGCTTATATTGTTTTTTTCTTCCTTGAATACAAAGAAAATATAGTAAACCCCAACCATTGCAACCATAAATCCCGATGGGGATAGACTATTTTAGTCAAAAAAAGCATTACAAATTGTCATATCATTCTTTCTATATTTCTATACTTCTTTTTTTTTTGTAAAAAATTAAAAAAAAAAACAACTAAAATAGTCAATTTTCAAACCACCTCGTTATGCAGAAGGCATAACCGTTGATAGAAGGCAGGATTTGACTGAAGGGCAGGACTAGAGTTCAATTTTTGTTTCACCATGAATCCCAACCCAGTTTACAGTCGCAATGTCCCCGGTCAATTACATCATCTCTCTCTCTCTCTCTCTCATTTGGCACAAGAGCTCCCTTTGATGGTCAATGTGGAAAAACCAAATACAAGACAAAAACTGCCCCCAAGGCCATGCCTCTTGAGAAGCTCTGATCTTTGTAAATTCTTTCTTTCTTTTGAATTAAATCCCTTTTGAATATATGCACAAGACATATCACCTTATTACTGTGTCAAAAAAGAAAAGAGAAGTGTCAAAAATATTCCTCTTTTTTGTTTGGACTGGGAAAGAGAAGTGTTAATTTATTTTCCCTCACCAATTCCAAACATTGGTATAACTTTCCACCTGGTAACCACTTGCATCATTGTAACCACCCATTCAGATTTCCCAACAGCCAGGCCCTCTAGTTCTCTGCAAATCAATAATTTTAGGGCCGTTTGTTTGCTGTTATAGCAATCCGGGCCAGACTAACAATGAATGAATATCATGTTTGTTTTGTTCAAGAAGGTTAGGATTCGTAATTCCTTCAAATTATAAAAGGGTTTGGATTCGTAATCCCTTCAAATTATGAAAGGCCTAAGACAAGTAGATTACGAGTGAGGAGATGGTATTAGAAAATAATATGTTTAGCTTAACAGCAATGCTACAAACCCCCAGTGGGGTTGACTCCCAGTGCCACGTGTCGGCCTGGAGATGGCTGAAAACTCAAAAAAAAAAAAATTTGCTTTTTTGGACCAATGGGAAGGGACCCCAGTACCCCCACTAAGGGTCCAAAGCTTTATTCTCAGCTTAAAATGTTACCGGTTACCGGTCGTTTAGCTGGTCAACCGGCCAAGTGCAATTTATTTATTTATTTTTTTAAACATGTTGAGCAATACATTTTGAAACAATATTCTTTAATAAATTGTTTTTTTTTTAAAAAAAAAGAAGTTAAAACCATGATTTTTATTTGTTTTATTATTTTATATAAAAATAATTTAACAATCCCCACACTACCAACCACCATAAAAACAAACACAATTTTACTTAATCATCTCACTATCAATCTCCTCCATCCTGCCTTTAAAAACAAATGGACCGTTAGGAGCAAACCCAAGCTGCTTTTCATTTTTGATCTACTCAAGATCAAGGATCACTCTTTCAAGTAAACTTAGGTTGTAAACACAACCAATATTATATTATTAAGAAACAAAAAACACAACTAATACACTACAAATAATTAAGATCAAGATCAAAATAATAGCTGAATAAATAGAAGTCAAAACAAAAACAACCAACTACTCATCAGAAAAATGTCAAAATGACGGATAACCTAAACAAACTGACAAAAATAATAATCCTAGTAATCCCAGGTATTCAACATCCCACCATACCAAGTCAGAAGCCTAAAACAAAATCAGCAATGAACACCATTGTCACCCTCAAAAGTTGAACAGATCCTAAATATTAGTAACAACGCCCAAAAAGTAAACATTAATGTGTGTATCTGAGGGAAAAGATTAGGCACACACCTAACATTTGGCATAGTGCACAAAGTGATTGCCCTGAGACTTGAACTCATAACCTCAAGGTTATTAGGTCAAAGTTTTACCATTGAATCAATGGTCACCCTTAGATCCTAAAAATTAGTATAGGCAAAAAAACCCCGACAATCAATCATAGCTTCGTCAAAGCCCTAATAAAAACTGGGCACACAAATGAAGAAATGTATATGCTCTAAGCAAAATTGGGTATATGCTTCATTCATTCAACGACAATGAGCCTAGCTGATCACCGACATCAGATCCTGGTGCTGATAAATGGAGGACATCCAAGGCCTCAGCAACTTTCCTCTTCAAAGCATCTGGAGACTCAATCAAATGGAGCACCTCAGTCTGGTCCATCTCTAGCAACATGCCCGTTACTTTTCCAGCATTTTCATGCTCGATCCGCTCCACAAGCGGAAACAGCTGTTCCCCTAGCATCTGTCATTTTGACACAAGAAAGAATCATGAGTCAACAATTCAAAATAAGTCTCTTTTTATTATTCATTAAAAGTTTCATTTCTCATTTCCTCTGCCATAGGTGTACCTATGGGGGAAAATTCATTTTCTAAAGTACTAATAATATTTTCCCAAACTGTAAATTCAATATACATATATTGCTATAGTAAAGGAGAGGGAGAATAAACTCACCAGGCGCTGATTTTCAGGAGAAGCAGAAGCCAAAGCAGAAGCAAGTGCTGACATCGGCACTGGCCCAGGACGTTGAGCATCAAAAGGCAATGGCATCATTGGAGTCAAGAGACCTTGAGGAACCATAGACGGGTCCATCCCATTTCGTGCATTGGCCATGTATCTTAAGCCTTGGTTGGAGTTACGATGCACCAACTATATTTAAATTTAAAATTACGAAAAATTATCAAACCATTAGAGAAACCAAGAATGAAACAAAAGCAGAACAAAATAGAGTTATTGTCTGACATGGAACAAAAACATTCATAAATCAATCCTTAGGAAATTCTCACAAGATGGAAAAACCAAGTATAATTTAAAAATAAAAATAAAAATCCTGGGAGTAAGATAAGAACAATAGTACACCTGTTGCTGCATCTGTTGAGGGTTCCCACCTCTTCTGGCGCCTACTCGATGTCCAGGTTGTCCTTGCCTTTGAAGTTGGAATGGCATAATGAAATTTGGGGCAACACCTGGGCGCATACCAGGCAAGAGTTGCTGCTGGAAGCCATAGGCAGCAGGGTGAGGAGGTAGCAGACCAGGCGTACCTTGACCAAAATACAACTGCTGAGGAGCAAGTCTAGGTGTACCAGGGTGAAATCCAGGCATCCCTGTAGGTAAAGGAGCTATTCCACTTGGTGCTCGTATTTGAGCAAACTGTGCCTGAAAACCCACTCCAAAAAAATACATTATGGTGAGTCATGATTGATATGAGAATGGAATCATACAAGCAGCAAAACTAATATCAATTTATCATGAACAGGGCACAATAATGTGTGCCTTTAGGGTGCACACACATTAAAAAGCTTAAAAGAAATGTACATTTTGCATGAAAGTGGGTGCAATAAAGAATGTACAATCTTTTTAAGCATTCTTAACATGTGTCCTATGGGCACACATTAACAACACCCTTACTAATATTAGACAGAATTAATGATAAGGTAAGCACAAGCTAATATAACCATGAAAAATTATAAGGATTCCAAAACAAGGTGGAAAACGAGTATGTGTAGGGCAAAAAGGCGATCAACCATGTATGATTTCATACATATAAAGTAACCTGCTTTTAAAAGCATCCATACAAATAGACCCCTGCTTTTTGGCACCCTTCTAATACATTTTACTTTTCTAATAATAAAAAAGTATATCGATAAAAGATATTTGAACCGGAATTTAAATTTATTCCAGTTTCAAACCATATGTAAACTTATAATGGTTGGAAAATACTTATTAGTTATTTTAGTGTTATTTCAAAGCTATCATTTTTGCCACACTAGAAGCATGTACAAATAAAAAGACTCTATAAAGATTGAAGCTATTATAAGAAATACTAATTTTGAACCACTCCAAAAAATCATTTTTTATGTCCACCCACAAGTGGGCTGCAAAACCTTTCATATTCAGAGTTTTAGAAAAAATAATCGGGAATCATGAAACTCAATCAAAAACACCATTATTGATTTCAGTTTCATAGGATACTCTTATAATGCGGAATAACCCACAACTAGAATCTCAGAAACCATAAAAATGATGAACTTATTACCATTTTTATCATCATATCTATCAATGACATAAGCACAGACAACATACATAACCCTCTCCCACACACGAGAGAGAGAGAGAGAGACTATATTACATTACATTACTAAGAAATGATGCAACGAAGAAAATCACCTGCAATTGTGCCCTCCTTTCATCTTTGCGCTGGGCCACGGCAACATATAAAGGTTTCTGTCCAATCATCTTGCCATTCATCGCATTCAACTGAAGAACATGGATAACAATCAACACAATGAATTAGACAAACTCTGTGGTTGAATGATAGGAAAGAGAGATCTGAAGTTCAAAAAGAGAAGGCAGTCTTACAGCTCTTGTAGCTTCCACGGAGGTAGAGAAGGCCACAAAACCAGAACCCTTACTCACCCCTTGTGGATCAAGCATGATCTGATTCACAAATCACAAATTAAATAAATAATAAATAAAATAGGGGGAAAATATAAAATAAAAATAAAGAGAATAATACATCAAACAGACCAACATTAATTTCACTTGAACCAAATATACCTTGCATGATGTTATGGTTCCAAACTCGGAGAATAACTCCTTCAGTTTTTCATCAGTTACGCTGTCATCAAGATTTTTGAGATATAAATTAGCACCTTGTAATTTTTCAAATCTACTGTTTCTTTCTTGTTCAAATTTGGCTTTCAATTCTGCCTCTCTTTCTGCTTTCCTTTGAGCCTTCCCCACAAACAAAACTTTGTCATCATTTAAAGAGGACCCGTTCAAGTTCTCTACTGCAGCAGCAGCATCATCTGGGTTCTGAAAATTTACAAAACCAAAACATCTGGACTTTCCATTTGCATCCCTCGTAACAACTGCACTGGTGATCAAACCATACTTGCCAAAAATTTTCATAAGGTCCTCATCAGTAGTAGTCTCAGAAAAATTTTTCACATAAATATTAGTGAACTTTGGTGATCCATTCACCCTATTTCTTTCCTGGCGACGGACAAAAAGGCCAACATAAACTTGTTTATCATTCATCAACATGCCATTTAACCGTTTGATTGCATTTTGTGCAGCTTCTTCCTGGTCAAACTGCACAAACCCATAGCCTTTTGATTGACCATTGGCATCAATGGCTACCTTGCAAGACAGCACACTACCAAAAGCGGCAAAAGTTTCATGCAATGCCTTGTTGTCTATTGATGCATCCAAATTCTTGATGAAAACATTCGCTAATCCACTTTTGCGAATGGTAGGATCTCGGTGAGAAAACATTATTCTAATTGGCTTTCCATTGATTTGTGTGAAATTTAAAATCTCAAGTGCATTAGCAGCTGCAATTATCAGATTACAAACAACGTCAACTTCAAACTAAGCCCCAAAACTTACTATAAAAATAACATATTAAAACATTCAACACCCTAAATTCTATCAATGATTCAACAAAATCACTAATATTATATATTCAAACAACTGGAAATTTTCAAAACTTGATAACAAACATTCAAAAAATTGCAAAATTTCAATTATTTCATGTTGAATGTCATATGCATGCTTGTTAGTGCTATTAATCAAATACATCAACCAGCAACAAATTGTTCCAAATGCACCATTTTACACAAATTCTTGAAGAAACAACTCCCTCAACAGACCAAATCGTGATGGATCTTCAACATTTGTGATGTCAAAAAAACCCCAAAGCATCTAGCCATTAGTTTCACAAATAATTTACAAAAAAGCATATTTAGGCTTGTTTTAAACACAATAAAGCACTAACAACTGAATGCGTTTAGTTGTGTGTTCAATAATGCATTACCTACGTTACATGGACTTGAAGAAAGGAGTTAGATGTGAGTATGTGTCTCAAGCGTTCGACTTATCTAATTCTCGTGTCTAAATATTTATATTCCTTACCCACCCTCAACCGCCAACCCACCACCCCTCTCCCACCAGCCCATCCAAACACATTTGCAAATCACAAAGAGAGAGAGAGAGAGAGAGAGAGAGAGAGAGATGTAAACACAATGAGAGATTCCAGTGAGGACAAACAAATTGGCTCCACAGGATGAGGTAGTACATGGATTAAAAGCAAATTGACTCAATGAGCTTTCCCACCCCCAGGTGCCGGCATCAATAAGAGAGAGGGAGAGTTGGTGGTGGTTGGTTTGTGGATATAAAAATTTACATAGAGGACTATGTGTTCTATTGAGGGTTAAATTGAAATTTAAAAAAATAAAAAATAAAATTAACAATTGTCATTAGCAAAATTCGTTAATAGTTCACTAACTGTTGTTATTTGTTATGTAATTTGAAATCTTAAGAAGTAGAATTTATTTTCCAAAATTTGAGAGAGTCAAAAATAGGGAATGTATTTGTAATTTACCCTACAACACACATTTATAACACATTTGGATTACCATGTATACTCGTGTATTTTACAAACGCAGAGTAGAAAAAAGATAGTATGAGTAGCATTACCCAAAAAATAATGTAACTATCTCTCTACTATTACAATCTTCTGTCAAAAATCAATTCGGGCACACAACAATAAAAATTAGTTACTAAAAATCCAAAAGACTAAATGAGAAAAATACTTAAATCATGGATTTGAGTGGAGGGAGAGGAAAATAAAAAATTATATTTTATTCATATTGTCTTTCCAAATTTATCTTTCCCTTTCCAAAACTCTACGCAAATACATACATGATCCAAACACAGCATAAAAGAAACAAATTTAACCCTCTACTTTCCAACATGAACCAATCTAATCACATAACTAAGAACTCACTGACTAAAAAATTTACATCACACAACTCATCACAGCAAAATCCACATGCACAAAAACTTCAACTAAAAATTTCACGTTGATCAAAACACTACCATGAAAAACATCAAACAAATACTCTGATCAAATTATAAAACATTACGGCAAACAGATATACATTCATGCAAACATAGAGTGTGACTGAAAACCCTAAGACCACAAAACATTGAACAAATCAAGCACCCAAAAATTCAAATCAAACTGAAAAAATTGAAGGCAATGTCTAACCATCTTGAGCGTTGCCGAAATTAACGTAAGCGTAGCCGAGCGAGACTCGCTTGGTTTGATCTCTACAAACCCTCACAGACACGACTTGGGCCACCTGGCTGAACAGATCGTACAGTTGGCTTTCGTTCACGGTCGGGTCGAGGTCCCCCACGTACAGAGACACATTGCCGAACCCTCCTCCTCCCGACGACGGCGATGGGGCCGCCGCCGCCTCAACTTGTTGCCCTGAAACTGCCGGAATAGAGGTTGCCATTACAGTCTTCGGCGATTGATCACTACTCTGATGCAACGCAAAATCGATCAATGTATCACACCAAAAAAAAAAAAAAAAAAAGAATGAAAAGAACTAAAAAGTTTCTTGGTTTAGGGTTAAATATGTTTTTTTTTTTTTTTTTGGGTTAATATATATAGATATATTTTTAAAGGATTGTGAATATTAGCAGAGGCTTGGAAGAGAAAGTGAGGAGAGAGAAGTGCACATATGAGTGTATATGTATGTATGTGACTGTAGAGATAATGGTACTCTGTTGGGGAAAAATTATTGAGTACGTTGGGGTTTAACAATCCCCATTTGTTTTGGGAGATCCAAGAACAATTGAGATTAGGATTAATGTAAGTTTTGAGAGATTGAAAAAGAATTCGTAATCCTATAAGGTTTGGGATTTGGTATTAGAAAATAGTCTATTAAATTATTATTTTTATATATATATTTTTTATTTTTTACATATTGGGCATTTATTTTTGAACATTAATGATTAATTTTTTTATATTTTTTGTTAAGTAAAAATTATTATTTTATTTGTTTGATTTTTATTTTATTTTATTTTTTAATTTTTACATGTTGGGCTTTTTTTTAACACTAATTTTAATGTTTTTGTATTATTTATTTATTTTTTTATTTTATACAAAAATAATTTAACAATCCCTACACCAACAATTATCTTAAAAAACAAACACAATTTTACTTAATTTTCTCACTAATAATCTCATCACTAGTAATTCTCTGATTATGAATCCTCTTAATTCTACTTCTGAAAACAAACGGGTCCTACGAGGTTGTTTGAGAATTATTAAAATGTAAATTTTTTTTTAATCTTTTTTATGTCATGTTATCTCTATTTTTTATATATCTTTTTATAAAAAGTCAAAAAATATATTTAAGTATTATTTGACATCTCTTATATTAACACATTTTTTTATCTTTTATATTTTTTAGTCACATTACTTTTTTTTATTTTATATATTTTATCATAAAAAGGTAAAAAATATATTTATTTAGATTATCTAAAATATCCTATTATTCAACACTTTTCAAATAATATCTAATTATCATACACTATGTCTTTTTATATTTTTCAATTACTTAATATAAAATTATAAATTTTATCTCTTTCATCAATCACAAATGGACTTGTTTGGTTTGTATTTTAAGATATAATTTTTGAGAAAAATTTTTAAAATTTTATTTGGTTCAAGTTTTTTGAAATTTTTTTTCAAAATTATACATCAATCAATTACTTTTTATCTCTCCTCTCTCCTCTCTCTTTCTTAACCACTTTTTTTTCTTACACACATCTACTCAACTATAACAAAATATTAAATTATACCAAACTCCCAAATTTTAAAATTATTTTCAAAATATATAACAAAATAAATAAAAAAATATTCTAAACTCTCCCTAGAAAAATTTTAAAAATTTATTTGAAAATACAAACTAAACGCACCCAATATCTCTACAGCCCACGTGATGGTGCTCTAGGAGTACTTAATAATTACTCCAGGCTGGGAACCGGTTCCTTAGTACTGAGGTAGCGGGTTCCTTGGTACTGAGGTGGCGTTTGACAACGCGCACGTGTGGCATTTGGGTGACGTGGAAATTTCGACAATATTATAAAGCCACGTCGGACGTTGGGCTCTTTTTGCGGATTTTGGAGGGTATATCTACCGCTCGTTACCATACCGTTTTGTCATCTATTCAGACACGCGTCCACTTCTTATAGGACAACATGCTGCAAATAAATAATAAAAGAATAATGCTATAGATCTCAAAAATTCTATCAAAATTTTTAATAAATGTCTTACATAAGGGTAAGACCCACACGATGTAGGTCTCATAAGTCTCATACCCATGTGAGACATTTGATAAAATTTTTAGTAAAATTTTTTGAGTCTTTAATATTTTTGATAATAAAAATTGGCTTAGATAGTATTTTAATTCAGTAATCCTATTTACCCTAAATGTGTCTAAATTTTTATATGATTATATGAGAGGGTAATTTTTGTGAAAATTAGGCCGAGCTAGGAGATGTCATTATGGCCCATAGTACGAAGGGCTAGGTAAAAAGGCCGTAAAGTTACTCCGGCTCAAGGGATGTATAAAATTACTCCGGCCCAAGGGATGTATAAAATTACTCCGGCCCGAGAGAAATGTAAAGTTACTCCGGTCCGGAAGTGACTTGGAGTTAGGCCGGTCCCAGAGTTAACCCGATCATGGCGTATTGTGGTTAGAACGGTCAGAACCTTGCTACTCGGTAGCTCGGTCTAAACACACCATGGTTTGTACAATGGGGGAACCGAGATAAAGGTGTAGCGAAAGGAAGAACCGAACTAAGGATAGTTCGGTCTACTCTGCGGCTCAGCATAGCCATGATTACTTCGGCCATGTTGGAGTTCGACCATGGTAAAAACCATCTCACTTGGTTTAAGCAGTGAAGGGGGTGTTGAATGATAAGCATTATCTATCAGGAGTATGAATCCTAGGAGGACTCTGCATGGAGGAGTAGAAGTCCTACTAGGATTGTGCCACACGAAACCTATAAAAGCTCACAAACATCACATTTGGAGAGGTAACACACAACTTTACTTTTTGAATACACGGAGCTTTTGTCTATTTGTCAAGCTTACTGACTTAGGCATCGAAGAGGTTTCCGGCATACACCCGCCGACTAGCTCACGTTTGTGTTTTCAAGTGATAAAGCGACGACGTACAGAGGAGCGCAGACTTGATCAACAAGATTATACGAGAAGGCTTTTTCTTTCCCGTACAATATGGTTGAAATTGAATTCATATATTATGCAGTTTGCATATAGAATAAATTTAAATCTATATTGAAAATTTTTTAATAAGATTTTAGCTATGTAGTATTACATTTTAATTTCGTCACATTATCTTGCATAATTTTTTATATGTTTTATTAATGTGTGTCCTTACAACATATATTAGAAAATTTTAAAAGATTATATATACCACATAAAAGTGCGTATTTACATTCGAAAATCAAAAAATAATAAAAATCAAAAGCAACATTATGGTTTCAAGAAAATTAATTATTTTTTTTACTAAGTTTTTCAAAAAAAATTAGAACAAATTTTCAGTTTTGATTTTAGCACATTTGAGAATAGAAACTATTTTAAAATATTTTTCTACCAATGATAGTATAAACTCAGACCTAACTATCTAGAATTATCATTTTGTAATTCAAATTTACTTTACACATGAATTCTATACTACACAGATTTAATCTCAGCCATACATTTTCATTTGGGGTAAATTCAAAGTAGTTAAGGTGGGATTCATCGACTCATTCTTTTATAGCCTTCAATTCTAAGGAAAATATCATTTAAGTGGTTACTAAGAAAAAAAATATTAGTTTGGTGAAAATTTTTATGAACTTTGTTGCAAAATTTTATAGTAATGCGATATTATTTTTCCTATTTTTAACTAAAATGACATTTCAATTTCCTGACTCATTGAAAAGAGAAGTAATGTTTGCAAAGATCTTTCTTTATTGTTTTGCAAAATTATTTACTTATGTTCCGTTTATTTAGGTGAATGGAAAATATTTTGTACGGAATTTGTTTTTTTTTTTTAATAAAACATTTTTCTATGGAAAAATTTACTCAGAAATCTCATTTGAGAGAATGTTGATCCAATTAGTTTCAAGTGTTTACTTTTGAATCAATTAGTCTTTTTTGTTTTTAGAATGGAGGCTTTGTTTGATTTGGTGCCATTTAAGTTTACTTGATTGCCCTTCTGTGAATAATTTTTCCAAATCTTTTACTCGTTTGTGAGATGAGAATGAAAATGTTATGTGTGTTGGTATATTTTTTGGAGGATTGGAGGGTGTCGTTTCAGTAACGTCTGCTGCATGGATATTCAGGTTTGATGTTAGATGTTGAAACTCATTTTCTGGTGGTGTGGTGTTCCAACAAAGGAAGTGCAAAGTTTGTTTGTTCTAGTCTGGGGTGGAATTATCGCAAGATACTGCATCGGTTTGTTGATGTTTTATGTTTAATGCGTTTTGTTGCGCTGGTTTTTGCGATTGGTTTGGCGTGTTGCCGAGTTTATTATTGCGGCCTTTTTTTGTCGTTATGATGATTCGTTGTTGTGCTTTTTTGTGTTGTTTATTGTGTTTTGTTGGACTGGTCGGATGAATAGTTCAATGTGGTTGTGTTGTTTTGGATATGTTGATTTTTTTAAGGAAACATTTTGGGTCACCATTGACATATCATATGACGTTGGTACGTCCATTATGTACATATGTAGCATGTCACATGTTTGTGGTGTGTTAAGTTTTTATTTTCTGTATGCGATGATGTTACGAGGTGTCGTGTTCACAAGAGAGAGGGGTAGTTGTAACATTGTACCAACGTACTAGCTATCATTGTTTTGGCTCATCAACTATCTGTGTCACATAAATATTATGGTAATGTCGGTGTAATTGTAATAGGTGTGGTTAATTTCAATTCTTATTTCACATTTGGAGTTTTAGTGTGTTACATTAATTGGAATGTTATGTTTTAAAATAATACACTAAGGAGTTTTTTTTTTTGTGTGTGTGTGTGTGTGTGTTTTTGGGTGTGTTACATTTGAGTGTTATGCTTAGAAAAAGTCCATTAAGAAGTTTTTTAATATTTTTGTGTGTGTTACATTGGAGTATTACGTTTGAAATTACAATGATTATTGAAGTGTTACGTTTGGAAAAAAACAAACTAAGGAGTTTTTTTTTTTTTTTTTTTGTGTGTGTGTGTGTGTGTGTGTGTGTTAGATTTAAGTATTACATTTAGGAAAAATCTACTAAGGAGTTTTTTAATATTTTTTATGCGTGTTACATTAGAGTTTGTTACATTCGAGTGTTACGTTTGAGATTACATTCATTGGAGTATTATGTTTGGGAAAAATACATAAGGAGTTTTTTTTGTGTGGTACATTGGAGTGTTACGTTTGGAAAAAGTATGTTAAGGAGTTTTTTCGGAGTGCTACGATGTTACGTTTGAGATAAGTACACTAAGAATTTTTTTAATGTGTTACATTGGAGAGTGTTACGTTCTTATTTGTAATGTGAGATTTATTCTAAAATGAGGGAATATCCAAAACATCTATAGTGTGGATTGCCTATAATTTCACATTTGGAGAAATCTACTTTTACCTATCAAAAATTAAACCCAAACATAAAAATGACTACCATTTTATATAATTTTCACTTTAATGGGATCTTTGGGTTCATAAAAAAATTTTGAAAACTAAACAGT